TGAGGATTATCTGAACAGTGATAATCTGAGGGAGGGAGCCGCTAAGAACAGTGGTTGCTGTGAGGTACAATGGTGGTCCCTCAAAATATTTCCTTTTGAAAGTTTCAGTGACATACAACAATCCATCTTTTCAGAATCTCCTGAAGAATTATCAGGTGAGAGTCATGCTGATTAATCCCTAGCACACTGTTCACATAAATGGAGTTTTGTTGACAACAGATGGCCTTAAATCTGGGTCTACCTGCTTCTGTCATTAGGACTGGCCAGTGACTTTAAGTCTTCTAACCTTAGGAACTGGAGTGTTTCAGAGGATTTTTTAATCCTTGCAGCACTGAAGGTGGAGGTGAAGGGAAGGATTTGTATATGGGGTAGACTAACTTTACAGGGTCAGTTAAGTGCATCCTTACTGTAATACACTCACATTTTTAGAAACCTGTTACAAACATACCATGTTGTTAGTCTGTTTATTTTGGTGGGGCTTTGACACATTCTGCATGCATAGCCAAAGTTGGGCTGAATTACTTCTCGGTATCTTCTGTGTTTTTTGTTTGTTTTCTCACGAGTCTGGGAGCATGCTGGCTGAGAGGGGATCCTTTTGGACTTGTACAGTAACTAATTTTTCTCTTTGTCCTCTTCAGCAGCTGCTGACGATGATGATTGGGATGATGACTGGGATGACCCCAAATCCGCTTCACCACAGTATCTTGGTTATAAGGAATCTGAGCCTTCTGAGGCAGGGGGCCCTCAGCGTGGAAATACTCGGGGAGCTGCCATGAAACTACCACTTAACAAGTAATGATTAGCAAACTAGGAAAAAAACACTGTGTATAGATTGGAAGGGAATTATGAAATTGCTGTATGTAATAGTCATATTGTAAAGGCTTTTGATATGGTCTCCCACAGCATTTTTGCAAGCAAGCTAAGGAAGTATGGGTTGGATGAATGGATGAAGGTGGATACAAAGCTGGCTGGATTGTTGGGCTCAACGGGTAGTGATCAGTGGCTCAATGTCCATTTGTCAGCCAGTATCAAATGGAGTGCCCCAGGGGTCAGTCCAGGGGCCCGTTTTGTTTAATACCCTCATTAACTATTTGGAAGACGGGGTGGATTGCACCTTAAGCATGTTTGTGGATCACACCAAGCTGGGGTGTCTAGTGTATATGCTGGAGGGTAGGGCTAGTGTTCAAAGTGACCTAGACAAAATGGATGATTGGGCTAAAAGAAATCTCATCAAGTCCAACAAGGACTAGTGCAAAGTCCTGCACTTAGGATGGAAGAATCCCATACACCACTACAGGCTTGGGACCAACTGGCTAAGCAGCAGCTCTCCAGAAAAGGCCCTGGGGGTTACAGTGGACAATAAGCTGGATACGAGTCAGTGTGCCCCTGTTGCCAAGAAGGCTACCAGCATACTGGGTTGCATTAGCAGTAGTGTTGCAAACAGATTGAGGGAAGTGATTATTTCACTGTATTCCACACTTGGTGAGGCCACATCTGGAGTACTGTGTCCAGTTTTGGACCCCCTACTATAGAAAGAATGTAAGCAAGAATGTGGAAGGGGCTGGGGCACATGACTTATGAGGAGAGGCTTTAGAAACTGTGCTTATTTAGTCTGGAGAAGAGAAGACTGAGGGGGGATTTGATAACAGCCTTCAACTACCTGAAGGGTGATTTCCAAAAAGTCTGGATCTAAACTGTTCTCAGTGGTGGCAGATGACAGAACAAGGAGCAATGATCTCTAGTTGCAACTAAGGGAGGTTAAGGTTGAATAGTAGGAAAACTGTTTTCACTAGGAGGATGGTAAAGCACTAGAATGGGTTACTTGCAGAGATGGGCGAATCTCCACCCTTGGAGGTTTTTAAGGCGTGGCTCGACAAAACCTTGGCTGGAATGATTTAGTTGGGAATGGTTCTGCTTTGAGCAAGGGGTTGGACTAGATGACCTCCTGAAGTCCCTTCCAAACCTCATTTTCTATCTTTCTAAGTCCTATCTTTTTAAGCAGTCTTTTAATTAATTTTTTAGACTGAAAGATGTTATACATGCTGCAGTTTTGAAAACCTGTATGGTGCCAGGGATGAAGCTAAAAGGAAAAAAAACACTTGAATTGTGGCCTTTCAGTTGTCACTCCTATATAGAAATATATGTTGCATTACCCCAAACTGGGGGTAAGGTCCTTTAACCAATTTTTGTTTTCTACAAGGAATTTTCTTTTCTTTTTGTTTTTTAATGACTATATTAGTTTTAAGGACTTTATCCTGATATTTATTATCTTAGGAATAGTTGCAATAATAAAGCTGTCATAAATTTTGTATAATGCCATGTCTGTCTGGATGCTACATCTCTCTTCTCTTTAAATAACACAATTGTTTACTGATCTCCCAATGTGTGCAGTCAAAGAAGCATATCAGATTTATTTGGGGAAACATCTAATTTTTACTCTCCAGCTTTTTAATAGTAATTGATGTGTATAAAAGCTGGCTGTGTGTAGTCCAGACTTGTTTGGCAGTGCAGCAGAACCTCACAATAGGCACTTAACCAAGTCCTAATGCCTGATCTGTTGTTGGTTGTGGTTGATGATCTAGTTTGTTGTTTAGTTTTTGCTTTAAAACTCTCCAAAGCCTTATGTAAAGTAAAATCAGAAGACATAGAAAATACTTGGATGGCAAACAAATGATATGCTTATTTTATTGGCCTGTATACAAACTTTTATGTGTACTAATTTCCATTGCTTTTGTTTGCTTAAGACAGAGGTTGGCGGCTGACAGCCCACAGGGTTGATTTGGCCTGCAGAGCCATGGGACTTTGACAGTAAGGTGCTTTGTCCACGCCATAGCCAGGTGGTGGAGAGAAGAGGTAGCAACCAGGTTATAACGCCAGCCTGTTTTGGACCTGAGCTGGGTTGTTCTGGCATGTTGCCAGAAAATGATGCTGACTGCTGGCTTAGGTTTATAGTACATCTTGTCAAGACACAGCTGTTTCTGCAACTGAGCAGTGCATGTAGAGTTATTGTCTTTATTTTAGTTTTTAATGTAAGAAAGACTAGCTCTTACATAGATGAGTAAAACTTTATAGACAATTAGACCAAATAGCAACAAGAACTCTCCTAAAGAAACCACAAAGTGTACTTCTAAAAGACTTCTGTTCACAGGCTGGTAGTTTTAGGTAGGTGTTTATAATATGCGGTTGTTCAGATCAGAAAGCCCTGTGGGTGTTTGATGGCCAAACACTAGCTTCATGTTTGCCTATACAATTGCATTTCTTAAGTATTTGCCTCCCGAGCTAATATTAAAGTTGTGATTTATCTTTGTTTTATTTATTTCTTTTATTTTACTCAAATGTAACCTGAGTGGGTATTTATTTAAAGTCAGTCAGTAAGAGCGCAGGACTTTTGCAATTGATAACTAAGGCTACATACAAATGTTCAGTTTCTAAGTGGAGATGAGTGATTTCTCCTGGTAGACAGCAGAAGTTTGCAGACTTTTTCAGGCTCTTTTTCCCAAAGCAAAAATGGTCTCTCTGGAAGGAAAATAACAGGAACAACTGGGATTAAGTCAGTTCCGGGAGAGTTTCTCCAGAGGACCAGCAGGAATGGAGTTGAAGGAAAGGCTCCTGTGCCTTCCCAAGACTGGGGTCACCCCAGTCTTGAGAGAGCTGCTCCCATCCATCCTGTAGACCTGGGGGGAAGGAAGGGGAATAGCAACTGCTAGCTGCTCCCTCCTAATTTTTTCTGCCAGAGTCCCTTTTGTTGCACTGTTCCCTCTTCTCAGCTGCCAGAGCCATGAGGCACAGCCCCTTCCCCAAGGGGAGCAAGTGTCTAGTTTTGGGAAGGCACTAGAGACTGTCTTGCTGCTCTCTCCTCCCTCCCCAGACCAGTCCAAGAGGTGAAGAAGAGGAGCCACGTTGTTTCCTGTCTCTTCCCTAAGCTGGATGCTGCTCTGTTTATGATGGGTTTTGGGACTTTGCTTCCTCTGGTCTGCCCTGCCCTTGAAAATGGGGAAAGGGGTGGAGAAGGCTGCTCCTTCACCTTGTTCCCCAGAGGCTGGTCTGGGGCAGGTGTTAAGAGTCTCTCTCTGCTGCTTCATTTTTTCCCTTCCCTCAATCATCCCCTTGAGACCAGGAATAGTTGGAACAGGCACTGCTCCCCTTGTCTTCTCCAGACTGGAATCTCCCCAGTCTCAAGAAGGCATGGAAAACAGGGGGGAGGGAGGATAAGGCTGCAGACTGAGCAGCTGTACTGCTCCCTCTCCTGGAAAGGTTCTACCAAGAGAAATTTCTCCCAGTGGAAATCAGTGTCTTCACACAGCCTAAGACCCCAATCTAGTAACTGCTACCAAAAAAGATTTTCTTGTGAAAAGTCCCATTAGTCAGAATGCTCCCTCTGTGCACTTTCCCTTGGCTCCAAGGGGGTGAGTATACATTGAGAAATTGATTCTTCTTAGGGGGGAGGAAATACTTGCATGAATATGGTACAGAATCAAGCCTGTGGTTCCTACAGACAATCTAATTTTATTTGCTTTTCCTCTTCAAAAAGTCTCAAGTGGTAAAACAGGATGTGTAGACTCATCTAGTAACAAACAGCATCATCTTTTGTAATAATAAACATGCTAGAACTGGATTAACATCTGTTGTTGACTTTGAGAAACTGTTTAGTTTATAATTGAGAGAATGTCAGTAGAATAGAAAATGGTCCTTACTGCTATGTGAAGTCCTGCTTCAGTCCTGTAACTATTCTTATTACAGTGATATATTTTGTAGTGTGAAAAGTAGAATCTATTTAGAATAACCAGCATTAACACCCGAAACCCTCCGATTTTTAGGGTGTTAACATTTATTACAAGTCATACTTCACTACTTTTGTTGCTCCATATAAACAGCAGCTGCTTGGCAGCATTTCAAGCAGTGGGCTAACTTCTGTGAGTCCAGTCATCTCATTGAATACAGAGGAAATTGGACCTACCTGGCATAGTTAAGATAAACTATGATTTAAGGACATAGGACTATCAGTCTTTTCTTTAAATTCTACTTGGATGAATTGTGCATATCACGGTGTTCAGGACCACTAGGTAAAATTAATATTGTAACTCATAGTAACTTGTTTTTTCTACTAATGATACCTGTGAATTCAAATGACTCTAGTTGATGGGTGATGAATGATGCAATAAAGAATCAGTTGTTACTGTATGTACCAGAGTCATGCTCATTCTGATTGGCTTTGCACATCAGACCAATTGTGAGGCTCAGACCATGAGAGACCAGCTTGCCTGAAGGGTATGTCTTAAGGCATTCTGCACTTTTCATGAATTATGGGCTGGGCTGCTCAAGAGCTGAAACTCTCTCAAATAAAAATTAACCATCAAAGCACTCCATAACTAATGCAAATTTAATTTGGTGTAATTTAAATTTTCTCAATCACTTTTCCTTAGCACATTAAAGTTTTTTTAGGCTTTTTTTTCTTCAGGCAGGAAATACTGAATCTGTCATTTCTTTGACCAGGTTCCCTGGATTTGCAAAACCTGGAATGGAACAATATCTGTTGGCAAAGCAGCTAGTGAAACCCAAAGAGAAAATTTCCATAATTGTAAGTTGTGTTCCTTATAATTTTTTTTTTCTTTAGCTTCATTGTCTTCTAAATATCTTTCAATTAATCCCAGGATGGAACTAAAAGCATAATTTGGTAATTTTAATACCAGATATGTAGTGGATAGTGTGGGGGGTTTTGGTTTGGCATCTCTTTGTGTATATTTATGGGAATTGTGCAGTTAAGGCCTTGTTTCTGACAAATGCAGAGTATCTTTAACTCCAGTCAAGACTGAGAGTCCAGGAGTACCTTTTAGAATCAAACTTACATACAGAAATGTAGGCAGGCTAGCTATGCAGGCAGCATTAACACATTAGCAAGCACAGTTAAAGTGGTAAGGAATAAAAAGGTGTAAGCATGAGTCTGTTCTTGCCTGTGTCTTCAGAGCCTCACTTCTACATGCAGTTCCACCAAATACAATGGGACTACGTACATAAAGGTGTTCAAGATTTGGTCATTGTGTCAGAAAAATCACTTAACCATAATTAATGGACTAATACAGAGAGTTTCAAGTGGAAAAAATCATAGTGGGTAGCATCTTTTTAAAACCATCATATTTCTTGATTACAATAGTGGATTTCTTAAGTAGAATAGATAATAAAGGAAAATTGCCTGTAACAAGAAAAATAACTTATGACAAATATTCGGGTTTTAAATGGCTCTCCTAAAAGTTATTTCAGTTGTATTATGTACCCCTCATTAGTTCATCAATTAGAGGCAGTAGCCTGTGAGAGAATCTCATGGTGCAGAGGCACGAAGCCCAGAGTGACCCCTGCAAGCTTCTGTTAAATACCCTCAAATCTTGGTCCAGTCCCTGGGAGTGGAGAGTGCCTAATGCCCGCCATTGAAATCACTAATAATACTTTGCTGTGCTGGACCTTAAACAGGGCCCTGATATGGCATTAGTGTTCTGATTTAAGGTGTAAGTTCTCACTGAAATCCATGGAAGTCTTCCAAACAAATTAAGCTCATGATCTGACCTTTCAAAAAAAAAAAAAATGTATAGCATATAACTAAAAAGAAAAGAAAAAACCTTAGTTGCTTTCCTGTTTAGTGATGGTCTGTCATGGTACATGCCCATTTATAGTATTAATGCTTATGATTTCTTGTAGGTTGGTGATTATGGGCCAATGTGGGTTTATCCTACCACCTCATTTGACTGTGTGGTGGCAGATCCCAAAAAAGGTTCCAAAATGTATGGGTTGAAAAGCTACATTGAATATCAGCTCACGTGTACTGTAAGTATGTCTGACCTTTAGTTCTTTACTGTGTACGTATGTTGATATGGGGCTGAGAGTGAAAAATCGATTTTAGGGAACACTCTTATTTTGGACATTTTGTCAGTGTTTTCATCATGGTAGACTAAATCTAATATTTAAACAATAAGTATTTTGGATTTCTTGCAAACATTTCGCTCGAGCTAGTTGGTGGCCCTAAAAGTTTCCATAAGACTAAAGTCTTTCTTTAAGGATATGTTAAGCAAAAGTGCTTTGTTTTGTCTGTTTTACAGAACACAAATCGATCAGTCAACCACAGATATAAACACTTTGACTGGTTATACGAGCGTCTCCTAGTTAAATTTGGATTAGCCATTCCAATCCCATCTCTTCCAGACAAGCAAGTAACAGGTAAGCAAGTTCCCAAGGGGAAGGGGAGGAAACATTTGCATAATGGTCATCTTGGGCATCTATACACATGCTGAGGGTGGGGGGGGCACTTTTAATTAGAACAGTTCCAAGAGCCGCTGTAACTGGTGCACAGAGCATCTCGTGCATCAGCGTCATCACGCTTCAAAATGATGGCGGGGGCACTTTAGATAAAGTCCACTTGTCTGTTTTGAAGTGTGGAGGTGCTGTTACATGAGACACAGGAGCTGGCTGGAGCGCAGCAAGTACAGCACAGTCAGAGCAACTTCCCCACTTGTGTATAGGCCCCCTTTGTTTTGTAGCGTCTTTGAAAGGGTGGCATAGCAGCATTGCTTTGAACACTGAAAATTCTTTTGGATGTGACTGACTAATGATAATCTGATTGGTGACATGTGTCACTATCTATTCAAAACTCAGTTTTGTTCTTTTCCAGACCAGAAGCATAAAAGCACTATAGAGAAAGTGCACCCAATCCTGGTAGGAAAGTTTCTTATACAACAACCCCTCAGACTGTCTTGGAAGTGACTTAAGTTTTGTTTTCATTTGATCAGACTGATCTATAACATAGAAGCTTTAAAAACTTGGAGCAGGAGGGGAAAACTGAAACTTGTTTGGAGGGAACAGAGGAACCCAGGCAGTGTGCTGTTAGTTCTCTCTTCAGAAGTTCCTGTTTTTCTGATGGCTTATTGTCACTTGTTTGTAAAAAAGCCAGATAAAAGTGCATGCCATTTACAAGGCATCCAGCACCCTGTTATAGTATCAGGTAATTTGATCAAACCCTTTTGAAGCCTTTCTGTTGATTTTTAAAGAACTTTGAATTGAGTCCTTAGTGCTGTTAGTTGTTCAGTTCATCGCGCATTAAGTGTGTCTGCATTTTAATACTGTTTTATGGCTAACAGTAATGTATTTTTTTGAGCAAGTGTAGGGACTTGACCCAGGAGAAAAATCTATAATTTGTATGTTCCGATGAAAACGTTATGCAGCCATTAAGGCACCCACTCAAAAACAAAAGCACAAAAGCAGGCGTTTAGCCAACCATGTGGCCTGTTCGTACCACTGAAAATGCAACAGTGTCTGTGTGTGTGAAGAAAGTTGAGCATTGATACAAATGCTGGGATAAGTGCCGAGGAAACTGAAAAGTAAGGAAGTGATTTTGTTTTTTCCTTAGCTAGGCTCCTACTTAGAATTCTACCAGGGTTTGTTCTTAAACGTGTGCACATGAACTAAAAATATACTAGAAGACCTGATGGTGTGACTCTAGATTTCCTTATAATTGGCTCCATAAAAGACTCAAAAGGGACTCTGGCATCTCAATCAACTCTTGTCTTCTGATTTTTGTTGTGGGTATTATGTGAGGGAGGGCTGTTTTGCTTGATTTATGGTAAGAAGGGGTGTTTGTTTCCTTCTTGGAGAGGAAGTTAAATGAAACACTTGGAAAATGATAGACATCTTTCATCATGCTCAGGAGGCTCCTTTCAGAGAACTGCTGTGTAGAAAAATGGCTTTTATAGGCACTAGAGAGGAAACCCTACTATTGGGCCAACTGATTACTGCTTTGCTCGGAAGAGAACATTAATAGGAATCATGTTGTTGCTGGCAACTAGGTGCTGAACCATGCACATGCACAGGTTCCAAATACATTGCCATCCACGTTTCTTTACCATCTTTCAGAAGCTATTGAAACTTCAGTGCAGCTTGAGGGTAAAAACATTCTAATCATGAAACCTCTCTTTAAGTCTTCATGACTTCTAGTCAATTAGTAGCATGGATATTTCTCCTATTTCTTATTTGTGTGTGTATAGATTCTTTACCTTAGGGTTTTTTTTAATATTGCTTGTTTTAGTTTTGTGTGGGTTCCCAGGCTGCTACAGTAATTGTGGGGCAGGTGTACTTTAAAAAGAGTTCACTCCTTCAAAGTCTGCCTGCCATCTATACTTGTATGAGAATTGAAGAGGGTAATATGCTGTCACAGTGTATTATCTGTTTCAGATATATCCTTTTCGTTATGTACTGTGTTGGAGTCTTCAGATTTGATAATGAAGAAAGCTTTTTTTTCCAATTTTGAACATAAGACCTTGTCTTTTAATTTTAACAAAAGAGGTCACTTTTAATACATAGTGATAGAAACAGTGTTTCTTGTATTCTATCAATTTACTAGCTTTGAAACATAATAGTTTCAGTTTCTATAGTTACAAAAGCTGTCACTTTACGAATATCAAACCCTCCTATCCCTGTATATTCTTCATTTCTAGTGTGCATCTCCCACTTAAAAATGTATTTTGGTAGTGGTTCTTTTTGCCTCTCTTTCATTTTTAAACATGTCATTCACTTTTCAGAGTGATACAAAAATGATTTAATAAAAATGTTACCTGGTCATTATTTAAAACTAGTAATTTTACCTACCAGTACTTCATATTTCCCACTTTCTAGAGTTCATTCATTTCCCAAGATACAGCTGTTACATTAAGGTAACTTCATCCATTTTATAATCCATCAAACTCCAATAGAAGAGAGCCTCTCATTTTTAAAGATAATTGTGGATACTTCTAAAGTGGCAACATAGTAGTTATTATTCAGTTTATTGCAGGGCGTTTTGAAGAAGAATTTATCAAAATGCGCATGGAGAGGCTCCAGGCTTGGATGAGTAGGATGTGTCGTCATCCAGTTGTTTCAGAAAGTGAAGTTTTTCAGCAGTTCCTTAATTTCCGGGATGAGAAGGTAGAAAACCCAATCAAAACATGGGGGGACTGTTTATTGTGCATAATGGCAGATGGGAGCTAAATTTTGTACCCTACTCATAAAATGTATTGATTTCTGTCTGCCCTCCAGTGGGCAGTAATTGAGCTGTAAATTGCTATAGGTTTGGTAGATTTGGTTCACTGCTTTTACCTGGGATTAAGCTTGTCAGCTGAAACTTTATTACCATCTGTCCTAAGTAGAAAGATGGTGGTGTCCCAATGTAGACTTGTTTGGAATTGGAAAATTAACAGTTCTTGTAATTATTTTGGAATCTTCTTTTAACGCAGCTGTTTATCTCCAACAAATAGAGCAGCCATACTTGTTGCAGAGGTCTTAGAACTGGTATCATTCTGGCAATCTCTTGATAGACATACTGCAATTAACCCTATATAACTGGCACCCTTTTTAAAAAAAAAAGCCAAACAAAATTGAACGTATAAATGAGAAATAAAAGCTTAATGGAGTACATAAGTAAAATATAATTTATCACAGTTGGTGAAAAGCCAGAACAGTTTTTTGCAGTTTGCATCCAAACTGGTCATTAGTTTCTGGTGCCAAAATCTGAATGGGCATTCTCGTGACTTTTGGCCTTTAACTTGCTAAAACTTTAGCTTGGAAATTGACTAATTTCCTGCTGCTATTCCTACTTCTTAAAATGATCAGCTGGGAATTTTTTTTAACTAAATCATTTGAATCTCTTAACCATTTTTATTATGGCAATTCACTGGTATCAAATAGAAGTAATACAATTGGAATGTAATTTTTAAAAGAAAAATAATAGTATATACATATGCAAATCATTTGACACAGTAATAAGAAAACTAATTTCTGTTTTGAATCTATTTGTTTATATTACACAAAGTTTTCTTATTTTCAGGTTAGTACCATCTTCTAGAAAATGAA